GCAGCCTAGAAAGGTCAGTGCTCTCCTGACCATACCAAGCACTCCGAGTTCGTTGGCGATGTCGATTTTGCTCTAGGAGTTCATGGAGACGTAACCCTAACAGTTAGTGGAATTTTCCTCCGATGGGATTTTCCCATGTATTTTACCAGGAAACATACATAGGGTAGCCTAGAAAAGTCAGTGCCCTCCAAACCATACCCACGCACTCCGAGTTTGTTGGAAATGTCCATTTTGCTCTAGGAGTTCACGGTGACGTAACCCTAACCCTAACTGGAATTTTCCTGCAATGGGATTTTCCCATGTATTTTACCAGGAAAAAAGATAGGGCAGCCTAGAAAGGTCAGTGCTCTCCTAACCATACCCAAGCACTCCGAGTTTGTTGGCGATGTCCATTTTGCTCTAGGAGTTCACAGTGATGTAACCCTAACCCTAAGTGGAATTTTCCTCCAATGGGATTTTCCCATGTATTTTACCAGGAAACATACATAGGGCAGCCTAGAAAAGTCATTGCCCTCCTAACCATACCCAAGCACTCCGAGTTTGATGGCGATGTCCATTTTGCTCTAGGAGTTCAAGGTGACGTAACCCTAGCCCTAAGTGGAATTTTCCTCCAATGGGATTTTCTCATGTATTTTACCATAAAAATAATAGGCAAGCCTAGAAAGGCGTGCTCTCCTAACCAAAAAATAACCCAGCACTCCTAGTTGTTGGCGATGTCCATTTTGCTCAAGGAGTTCATGGTGACGTAACCCTAACCCTAAGTGGAATTTTCCTCCAATGGGATTTTCCCATGTATTTTCCAGGAAACATACATAGGGCAGCCTAGAAAGGTCAGTGCCGTCCTAACCATACCCAAGCACTCCAAGTTTGTTGACGATGTCCATTTTGCTCTCGGAGTTCATGGTGACGTAACCCTAACCCTAAGTGGAATTTTCCTCCAATGGGATTTTCCCATGTATTTTACCAGGAAAAATAAGATAGGGCAGCCTAGAAAGGTCAGTGCTCTCCTAACCATACCCAAGCACATCCGAGTTCGTTGGCGATGTCCATTTTGCTCTAGGAGTTCACGGTGACGTATCCCTAACCCTAAGTGTAATTTTCCTCCAATGGGATTTTCCCATGTATTTTACCAGGAAACTAGATAAGGCGCCTAACAAGTCAGTGCACTCCTAACCATACCCAAGGCACTCCGAGTTTTTTGTTGGCGATGGCAATTTTGCTCTAGGAGTTCACGGTGATGTAACCCTAACCCTAAGTGGAATTTTCCTCCAATGGGATTTTCCCATGTATTTTACCAGGAAAAATAGATAGGGCAGCCTAGAAAGATCATTGCTCTCCTAACCATACCCAAGCACTCCTAGTTTGTTGGCGATGTCTATTTTGCCCTAGGAGTTCACTATGACGTAACCCTAACCCTAACTGGAATTTTCCTCCAATGGGATTTTCCCATGTATTTTACCAGGAAACATACATAGGGCAGCCTAGAAAAGTCAGTGCCCTCCTAACCCTACCCAAGCACTCCGAGTTTGTTGGCAATGTCCATTTTGCTCTAGGAGTTCACGGTGACGTAACCCTAACCCTAAGTGGAATTTTCCTCCAATGGGATTTTCCCATGTATTTTACCAGGAAACATAGATAGGGCAGCCTAGAAAGTCAGTGCCCTCCTAACCATACCCAAGCACTCCGAGTTTGTTGGCGATGTCCATTTTGCTCTATGAGTTCACGGTGACGTAACCCTAACCCTAAGTGGAATTTTCCTCCAATGGGATTTTCCCATGTATTTTACCAGGAAACATAGATAGGGCAGCCTAGAAAAGTCAGTGCCCTCCTAACCATACCCAAGCACTCCGAGTTTGTTGGCATGTCCATTTTGCTCTAGGAGTTCACGGTGACCTAACCCTAACCCTAAGTGGAATTTTCCTCCAATGGGATTTTCCCATGTATTTTACCAGGAAACATAGATAAGGCAGCCTATAAAAGTCAGTGCCCTCCTAACAATACCCAAGCACTCTGAGTTTGTTGGCAATTTTTGTTTCTTCTGTCATCAAAGTGCTTCATAAAACGCTAACGCTGTAATCTACAAACCACGTTAACGCAATTGAAATCGCTCTTAAAATTACACTAGAGGATTGCTCAGAAATCAAAAGCTCAGCCAAAGAGATGCGTTCTTACCTTGTCCCTAAATGCCCAGAAAGCGGGGCCCGTGAGCATCACCCAAAGATTCTGTCGCACGGCCTGCCAGGTGTGCCAGAAAAGGCCCTTTCCAGTAGACTGCCAAGCTCTGCTAGTGGGAAGGCCCTTGGAGAGGTCCCTCCCGCTATTTCCCACCAAAACTGCAATATTGAGAGGAGCGGTGGCGATCGCAACCTCCCACCCTGTTTCCCGCTTCCTCTTGGGGTTTTTACTGGGCTCCCAACCTTACTCCATTTCCATCCCTGTCTCTTTAAAAGGAAAAACCTTAACCTCACTGAAAGTGGCAAAAAGGGGGGGGGGAAATCCTCAAGGACAACTTACCTGTTTTCTCCCAGTTCCTTCTTAACAGCCACAGCAAGGGGTGGGGAGTCACCCATACGGCGGAGGCTCTAGGCTGGAAATCCAGTGACCTCCTTTCTCCACTGCCTTTTCCAAAAAGGCTAAAGGTTTCATCCGGCAGGCGTCCCCACCCTTCCTCTTGGCCGCTACATCAGTCGATGCAGTCGTGACTGGGGGAAGTTAGCAAAATTGCAAGCCGGACTCTGCAAAGACCCGGGTCTCCTGCTGCCCCCAGAGAGACCTGCTTTTCCTTTCTCTTACCTCTGGGCGGTGGGTGGGCTGTTTACGGCAACCTGGAGAGGAAAGGAAGGAATCTCCTATCCGTCCTAACCCTGACTTGTTTTGGAGGAAGGTCTACAAAGTTAGATGGACGGCAAACAAAATAATAAAAGCCATTAGTTGCAACTTCTCACGTCTCATCCCTTTTATCCATCCTTTAAATGATAAACCTAGAAGGGAACGATAGGTTATACACATTTTCAAAATAAACTGCATTTATTTTTTATACTTTTGAAGCAGATTTCTTCTTCCGCGCCTGCGTTGCAGCAAACGGGCCTCCCCTGGCCCTATTAATAAGGTGTTAATACCGTTAATAAAATAAATAACTTCCCCTCTCCCAGGAAACAGGCGGTGGGAGCATAAGCATAAGCATAACCCAAGCAAAGCAACAGAATAAGAGACCTGAAGTTCCAACTAGAATTTAACAGAATATCTCTCTGCAGCAAAAAAAATGGAAAGCATCTCCTAAATTCTGCATGTAATCTTTATTTTATTTTGCATTTATAAAATTTTCAGTTTTTTTTAAAACAGCATTTTAAGCATTTTCCTGCTCAACAAGATAAAGTTCTCTGTTGGAAGAAGGGACGATCCCCATCAGCACCCCAGAGGTGGCTGATGGGACTTGTAATCCAGTAGAAGCCCAAGTCGCCCTCTGTTCTCTCAATCCTAAAAAGCACAGCTGCAAAAATGATGGGGATATTTTAAAAACTGGGCCTTTGCAACGGGAGAGGGAGGTGGTGGGAGGCAGCCTCTCAGGCACAAGGCTGCGTGACGAATGGGATTTGTAGTCCAAAGGGTCCCCGGGCAGGGCGAAGGCTCGAGGAGGAGGCATTACGCAGTCTAATTATCTTCACCTGTGCGGGCCGAGGCATACCTGACCGTGATGAGCAGCTTCCTGCGCCGTGGCCATCTCCATGGCAACCGCTGCGCGAGCTGGGAAAATAGCCAAGCGTTCGCACCTGTGTTTGGGCGGGAAAGAGCGCGCGCCTTTCCCGCCCAGCGCACTCAGACTGCCTCGTGGGCTCCTGTCTGCATGCCCATCTCGCTCGTGATTGGCTGCTCCGGAAACGCTTCTCTCGGATTGGCTGAGCGGCCTCTCCCCTCTCCGAGAGGCGGGGGCATTTAAAAAGTCGGCGGGCTCCTCAGGCTGAGTGCAAAAAGAAAAACGAGCGCGCTGCAGAGGCAGCCGACGCCGCTACCGCGTCTCTTTCCTCAGAAGAGAGGTGATAGCGGCGTCTCGTGCCTCTGCAGTGCGCTCGCTTTTCTTTTGGCTCTCAGCCTGAGGAGCCTGCCGACTTTTTCCTTTTTGCTGCGGGGCTCCGGAGGGCAAAAATGTCTCTCTCCGGCTCTCCCGCGGCTCAAGTCCTCGAGCTCGAGGTCGGGCAGGGCCTTTTGAGCTTTGAGGTAATTCTGGCGGAGACTTTTTTTACCTTTTAGGGATGCGGAGGGGGGCGCGAGTTCGTTAGCTAATTAATAGCTTATTGTTCTCGAGGAGTCAGGATAGCACCTGTGATAATTTTAACCACGGCGTGTATTCTTACGAGTAAAACGCCAGTGGTAGCTCAACGGTGTTTTATTCAAAGGACTCCAAAACCCATAGGTCGCTAAAGATACTTATCTCAGTCTTTCGCTCGGGAATAACGCAAACCGCTGTGTCTTAGAATAATACTAGTCAAGTTCTTAAAATTTTGGTCGAACCTGAGGTAATCTCAGCCATGTCCTTTTTAAAGGGACCAAACCAGCAAAGGTGAATAGGAGTTAAAATTAGCTTTAAAGGTAAAATTATCTCAGGAACTGACTTTCTTCTTAGGAATAAAGTGAATTCTTGGGGTAATTTTAGCCAAGAATTCAAGTTCTTAGAATAAAATTTTGATGGAACCTGAGTAATCTCAGCCATGTCCTTTTAAAGGGACCAAACCAGCAAAGGTGAATAGGAGTTAAAATTAGCAAAGGTAAAATTATCTCAGTAACTGACTTTCCTCTTAGGAATAAAGTGAATTCTTGGGGTAATTTTAGCCAAGAATTCAAGTTCTTAAATAAAATTTTGATGGAACCTGAGCTAATCTCAGCCATGTCTTTTTAAAGGGACCAAACCAGCAAAGGTGAATAGGAGTTAAAATTAGCTTGAAAGGTAAAATTATCTCAGGAACTGACTTTCCTCTTAGGAATAAAGTGAATTCTTGGGGTAATTTTAGCCAAGAATTCAAGTTCTTAGAATAAAATTTTGATGGAACCTGAGCTAATCTCAGCCATGTCTTTTTTAAAGGGACCAAACCAGCAAAGGTGAATAGGAGTTAAAATTAGCTTTAAAGGTAAAATTATCTCTTGAACTGACTTTCTTCTTAGGAATAAAGTGAATTCCTGGGGTAATTTTAGCCAAGAATTCAAGTTCTTAGAATAAAATTTTGATGGAACCTGAGCTAATCTCAGCCATGTCCTTTTTAAAGGGACCAAACCAGCAAAGGTGAATAGGAGTTAAAATTAGCTTTAAAGGTAAAATTATCTCAGGAACTGACTTTCCTCTTAGGAATAAAGTAATTTTTTTGGAATCTGAGGTAATTTTAATCAACGCACAAGCCCCTAAAAGTAAAATATATAATAATAAAGTTGGAAGGGATCTTAGAGGTCATCTAGTCCAATTCTCTGCTCAGGCAGGAAACCCTATAGTTTAACAAGTTAACAAGACAAGAAACTAGCGCAGGGGTAGGCAGCCTTGGCTCTTTTATAACTTGTGAACTTCAACTCCCAGAATTCCTGATCCAGCATGGCTCAGCTTGGAAACTTCCCTTTCCCCTCAACATGGCTGGCTCAGGAATTTTGGGAATTGAAGTCCAAGGGTCTTCAAATGTGGCCCTTTTATGACTTCTGTATTTCAATTCCCAGAATTCCTCAGCCAGCGTGCCTGGCTGAGGAATTCTGGGAGCTGAAGTCCGGGGGTCTATTTGTGGACTTCAACTCCCAGAATTCCTCAGCTAGCGTGCCTGGCTGAGGAATTCTGGGAGTTGAAGTCCAGGGGTCTTCAAACATGGCCCTTTTATGACTTGTGGACTTCAACTCCCAGAATTCCTCAGCCAGCGGGCCAATCCACAAGTCATAAAAGGGTTAAGTTTGAAGACCTCTGCCTTAAAAGAAGCAAAACATGTAGAAAACAGGCTAGTGGCTTAAGGGAGCAATGTTACAAGTTATTGTATCTTGCCTTCTTTGACAAGTAGGATAAAACACATAAAACCCCTTTGACTGATTGCTTTTCTAACCTCTGAACATCCATGGTCATTTGGTGATGTTGATTTTTTTTTTTTTAATTTCAAAGGCATGAATCCATGTAGACGAAGAAGAAGACATCAACAGTAAGACAGATGGTTTAATTCACTCTCCAGTGTATTATGAAAGTGAGGAAGCCTGGCAGATACTGTTTGCAACATGTTAACTACTGCAAAAATCTTTGGGTCTTGCTAAAGTTTATCTTAAGACTTGCTTTAGCAAAGTTTTTTTTTTTAAACATTACAAAGTATCAAGGGTAAAAAGAGCAGTCATAACTGTGACAAACATGTCTAAAAAGTAGCAAAAAATTTCTGACCCAAGACAATTTTAGCTATTGGCTGTAGATCTTAGAATCAGACAGATACCAGCCTCCTCCAGTACCTGAGGACTCCCTCAGTGAGACTCAAGCCAGAAGGGAATCCTTTGGGATCACCTCCCTCCCACCTTCACACCCTTGGAAATAATGCCAATACCAGCCAGACTTCTTAGAAGCAAAAGTAAACCTGGTGATGCATTTTAATATGAGGAATACCAATAAAGAAGAATATTTGTGGTTAACAGTTGAAATGAGGTGTCTTTGGTGCTCTCTGAGCTTGGCGGTTTTCTTGTAGACCAAGCATGTCCAAACTCGTGACGTCATGTGACGTCATGCAACGCATCGGGCTGGTTTTGCCCTTGCCGGCAATGGGGTGGGCGTGGCTTCCACGTGACCTGTCCGGTCCATGGGCCGGCAATTTGACACCCCTGTTGTAGTGCAGTTTGTTCCCAGTTTATGTTCTAGTGCAGTGGTGGCGAACCTATGGCACTCGGAGCCCTCTCTGTGGGCACATGTGCTGTTGCCCCAGCCTTGCCTCCCCCTGCGACCCCCTCCTCTCCAGCAGCTCCCCTGAAGGAGACTCGCCCTCGAGCGTGGCCCACACGGAGCAGCGCAGCCAAGGACATGGCAGCCAGGCAGCGTAGACAAGACTCTGCCCTCACACCCCATCATGCAGTTGATGCTGCAGGGCGCGGGCAGAGGGCGTGGCTGCCATAGTGCTGCTGGGCTGCCTGGGCAATCTGCGGAGGGCCATGGAGGCGGTAAGTGGTCCTGTGGGCGGGGGGTGGGGGGTGGGGATGGAGGGGTGGAGCGGGGTCGGGGCAAGTTTTTGGGCACTCGGTCTCTAAAAGGTTCGCCATCACTGTTCTAGTGGCTCCTTTCAGTGTTAGCGAAAATGGTCTTGGAGGTTGTTTGTTGCGCTATGTGTTGTTAGCTTCTTTGGCAGCTCCTTGATTAGGGTATTGTTTACTTCTTGATTGTTGGTCTGGAAATTTAGCCTTGGCAATGGTTCATAGAACCAAAAAGAAAACATCAATGGCCCTTTTTAATGTTAGGTTGGCCATTGATCTGTAAAAGATGTTATAGTTTTGTAGCTTTGCAGACTGAGCAGAGGAAGTGCACTCTTCTACCAAATATTCTTCGAAAGAGACAACGTTGCTGGGCACGACTGAGGAAGAAACAAAGGAGAAAGAAGAAAAAAGAAGAAAAAAAGAGCAAGAAAATGTCTCCAGCGCAAACCCTCTTAGTCTTCAGCTGTGATGGCACCCTCTACGCTGAGAGGTATGTTTAGTTGAGTCTTATATTCTTTAAAGCTTTAGGACAGGGGTCTCCAAACTTGGCCCTTTTATGACTTGTGGACTTCAACTCCCAGAATTCCTCAGCCAGCATGCTGGGAATTGAAGTCCACAAGTCATAAAAGGGCCAGGTTTGGAGACCCCTGCTTTAGGATATGGAGGGAGGTGGATGGTCTTCCAGTAATGCCTAGGTAAGTAAGGGTAACCCCTGTGTCTGTGCATTCTTAGGAGTAAAACCCCAGTTCCAACTGAAGTAATGCTGACTTTCAAGGCACAATTCCAAAATGACCTGTAGACGAAGACATCAACAGTAAGACAGATGGTTTAATTCACTCTTCGGTGTATCATGAAATTGAGGAAGCCTGGCCAGTACTGTTTGGGCCTTGCTGAAATTTACCCGAAGGCAGTGGTGACGAACCTATGGCACGTGGGACAGAGGTGGCACTCTGAGCCCTCTCTATGGGCACGCGCGCCTTCGCCCCAGCCCCACCTCCCCCCGCGGCCCCCTCTTCTCCAGCAGACCCCCGGAGGAGAATCACCCCTGGGTGTGGCCCGTGCGCAGCAGCCCAGCCAAGGACATGGCAGCCGGGCAGTGGGGACAAGACTCCGCCCTCGCACCCTGTCGCATGCAGATGATGCTGTGGGGCGCAGGCAGAAGGCGTGGCTGCCATGGCACTGCAGGACCGCCTGGGAGATCTGCGACGGGCCATGGAGGCGGTAGGTGGCCCTGCGGGATGGCAGAGTGCGATGGGGAGGCGGGCGGGCGAGAGCTGGGGCAGGGCGGCTTTTGGACACTCTAAAAGATCT